ACTATGTTCCTAAGGAACATTGGGCTGGGATATAGGCTATTGTTTATCAGTTTCTTTATAATTTGCAGTAGAGAATGTGGCAATTAGGAATTTACATTTTAAATTAAATTTAGTAGAATTAACTAACTAAACTGAAGTATCGCCTCATAGGAACTGGAAGTAGCTTGTTGTTGAAATTCCCATGATTATAAATTTGTGTGAACTATTTTTAGAAATGCCGTAAACCATTTCGCACAATTTTGCAGAGCTATATTTTCCACACCGACAGGCATTTCTAAAAACAGTTCACACAAATTTGTAATCACGGGAATTTCAACAACAAGGATGTCTCGATAACTTATACAGAATTTGCTACTTCCAGTTGCTATGAGGCAATACTTTTAATTAGTGACTCTACTGCAAATTATAAAGAAACTGATAAACAATAGCCTATATCCCAGCCCAATGTTCCTTACGAGACAGTCATTAGGGCAAGGATTGAAGAAGAAAAAAAAGAAATATCACCAGTGGCAGAAAGTAATTCCCAAGATTTTTCTAAGTGGAAACAGAACTGTTCAACGCAATTACGTTGATCAGTTCCTGCCTTTTAGACTAGTACAGTATCTTACTTTAGTTACAGCATTATCATTATCCATTATGGCGACTTTTTTATACTTAGACCTGGACTATCAGTGGGATGAGTCCTATGTTGATTTGATACTTACTTCCAAGAAATTAAGGTAAGACGAAGGATGAAACAATCGCTCAATGATATAAACGATTTACAGCAATTATTTTTCGTTAGAGCCTTGCAAACCCACTGCCCACACGTTTTCTTGCAACAGTGCATTTTTTTAAAAAAATCGGTGAATAGTGAAAATGTTTAATTATACCAGAGCGGGATATGTTATATATGTTATAGGAATGAATTGAACTACGCTCAGGAAGAAGAGCCAGAATGGATGCCTGTGATTGAGAAGAAAAAGAAAAGGTAAAGTACTGCTGTTTATCATTTGCAATTGATGTTGGCAAAGGTATCCTTTGAATGATTCACCGGTTCTGCTCAAAAGCGAAAAAATGCGATTCTCGCATCCAGAGGCCGTGACTAATCTAATTGACTTATGATCGACAGGAACGAAAAAGCTTTATCAGGAATGGAAAGAAAACAGGGCGTGCGAAAGAGATGGGAAAAAGGTGAACAGGCTTTTGAGAATGCTTCAAAAAGGCTAAATGTCAAGAAACGACAAACCATTCTACTCACTCTTCATCGTATGGCATCCGAGAGAGTCTTTTACTGGAACTAAAGGCAAAGTATGCAGGTATTGAATACAGATATCATGTATTTAATATTATGAAAATACCCTGGCATGGTAAGTTCCGTAAAAGGAAAATGGTTGTTTAGCAAAGTGACGTATTTTTATTTTAGATGGACAAGCAATTGCCATTAAGCTTGGGAACCAAATTGATCGTGTGGTTTCCAATATGAAGCGTAATCTTGGTCTCATTAATGGACTGTCTGACAGTGTCATGTCCTTCGACGAAATAAAAAGAATCCTGTTGGAGAAATATTTCGCAGTGTTATGGTTGCTAATAAAGAAGCAGACACACCTATCAGCATAAAAAAGGGCAATTGAATTGTTTTGCCTAAAAGAAGGGTGCAAAGAAGAAATTGTTTTGCTTCGAAATGAAATGTTGGAATTTTCTTCATTTTTCTCAGTCAGATAGAAATTATCAAGTCATTTCTGGGTCAAAAAGTGGTTGAGAAGGAGGTAATTGGTTTGCGTTCTCTTGCAAGGTCAAAAATTGTATATTATCAGCAACAATTACAGAGCCTTAAAAAGATGTGGTCTGATATAGTGGTCATACCTGTCCCAGATCATAATATCGTAACGTTTCCGCTAGCAACACCCTCTCAGAGTGTAGGAGGTTCGATTGAAGTAGACGATGTGGAATTCGATGAAGTAATGGATGGCATACACGTGTAATTATAAACAGCTCGTGTTAATTTCAATCCTACCGTGTATGAATTACATGTGACTGAGAAACAAATTTTACTTTAGAATACTATCATTAGCTGGAACTAATTATTAACTTTCTGCCTATAGCATAAGATGTTTTTACAAAAAAATTCCTAGACCCTTCCTAGGTACATTCATAATATAAATTATAAAATATAATAATTTCAATAAAAACTCAACGCTGTAAATTGTTAATCACAGCCTCCGATTAACTATAAATGTTTGAGTTCCTCCTCTCCAACGACTGGCGTCATATAGCATTTTAGTAAAAGTTACCCTAATATTAGAATTCATAAAACGGGTGTCAAATTTTATTTATTGGGGTAAGGTTTGTCAAGATCAATATAGTTTATAATATTCTTGTAACATATTAGTAAAAGTTACCCCAATATTAGAATTCATAAAATGGGTGTCAAATTTCATTTATTGGGGTAAGGTTTGTCAAGATCGGTATAGTTTATAACATTCTTGAACCATGTTAGTGAAAGTTACCCTAATATTAGAATTCATAAAACGGGTGTCAATTTTCATTTTTGGGGTAAGGTTTGTCAAGATCGATATAGTTTATAATAGTCTTGTAGCATATTAGTAAAAGTTACCCTAATATTAGAATTCATACGAGTGTCAAATTTCGAGGTTCAATCTAAGCATCTGAATTGTGTTATATTTTGACTGTTTCCTGTGGTTGCAATAGTTAATAAAATCCGGTATCATGTTTCAGTTCGTCTCCTATGGCTTCTTCGAGTGGACAGTGTGGTTTTTAGTCGATGAGAAGTTGCTTTTATATCAATCTAAGCGTCATAAGCTTATTGAATTTTTAATTACAGTTATTGAAATTTACAAATTATCTATTCTCCTCAATTTTTGCGTAGAACATTCTTGTTTTGTATATCGCTTTACCTTTGGAGCATGTAATTTAAAGTGCAAGTATGTTGATTTGACCTTTCGCGTGAATATAATTTTAATATTTAGGTGCTTTGAATATATATTTTGAACATTTCAAATCACAGATGAGGAGGAACCGGTCATGTTTCCCTGCAAAGGTGAGATATATAACCTTATTGCAATTCAGGATTCAGCTATATACAGTATTGGTATATTACAAAGGTGATTATTGAAAATTCTGGCATCACTTGATCGACGTCGGCCATTACAAAATATTAATTTGAAAAATTTTTTTTTGTCTAACTAGCATTTCGATGTAAACCAAATAGCCAACGTGTTTTTTAGGGAAAATATGGTATTTGCAGAATCTCAAGCTGTTCAAATTACGGAAAGTACTTCAAACGCCTTGATAATCATCTTAGTCGTTATCATAAAGGTACAACAAGAGCAATGAATGACGGCCTCCCTCATCCACATTCCTACAGGAGTGACTTGTTGATGCAAGCCAGGCAAGATTGGCGAAAATATTGGCAGCAATACACCTAGCGAACGACCATGCGAAAACTCTGAAGCAGCTCCTAATAATCCGATCCCCTCAGTCGCTTCATGTTCAACTGCTGAGGAAATATTGAGCGTTCGGAGAGAAGACATGAAAAGGAGTTTGTTTACTTCAACGCCCCTGAAGATAGAATTTAAAAACCCTGGGAAATTTGCGCTGAAAAATTGAGGGAAAACTAATAGTGAAAAGCATACTAAAACTGAAAACGTACAATATGTCAACAGTGAAAGTGGCTCGGGCGAAGAACTGCCAGCATTGTGATTTCTCCTTCACAACATCTGCTCATATAGCGTCCGCTCGTTGTTGTGTTTCGTTCGAAAAAATTGAACTATTGAACAATATCACAGCACAAAATTGTGCAAGGAAGTCTTTGGTGAGGTATCCCTAACTTTTCTTCAGGAAGTTTACCAACATAGAATCAAGTTCATGAGTTACTATCAACGTTTGGGATGTTACCCGAACCAAGGCGGAAAAAGAGCCGACATTTGTCTTGCGTGCGAGGAAACAAAAGGCAAATGTCAATGCCCAGGATTAGACATTTCATTTTACCTTTTTTGCCGCCAGCCGTGCTCAAAAGAGAAATTCGACTGCAAAAAGTGCAAAAATTGGACCGTCCCGTCACATCTGTGCTTCGATTTCTTTTTTTGTCCAACTTGTGACGAGTACTACAAAGGAACAAAAATCAAGGCCCACCAACCATATTGTGCTTGACAGTATCTTGCTATAGGTTAGAAATACAGTTTCTTTGAGTTTTAGACAATACCGGCACTCAGAAATATTTCCGCTTTCAATCAATCACAGAAAGGTTTATGGTACTTAAAAACATTTTATATTCATTTAAAGCTCAAAAAATTATATTTCGCACATATATCAGTTTTTCTATTTGCGCACAGCAATTCCCTTATAAAACACAGAGTTTTCCCTTCATTATTAACACAGTGTTAATATCAGTCAATCAGTGATATGTCCCAAACTTGTGATAAAAACATGCTTAAAGCCCTGTTTACACTACACGCAAATTCAGTATCGGCACGGCACGATCGAATTACGGGTACCCGTGCCGGCCTTTTTATTGGTAGCTTGAACAGTAATAAAACTAGGAATGGTACTAATTTTAGCCATGTCGTGCCAATAAATTGAGTGCAGTGTTTAAACGGGGCTTAAAAAGTTCATTTCGAAGAAATAGGTTTCGACTGAAATTTAAATATATATGTGAACAATTACTCACATTAAAAAATTTAAAGACTTAAGGCTGCTTTCCACTTACGGAAAATTTTCAATGCTTTTAAATTTTTATTATTTAACATCTAGGTCAACTAATGCATACTAAAATATGCAGAAAACTAAGTTCCTTTGGTTTATTCACTTAGTTTCTCAAAGGTAACATGTGTTAGGATTTAGACTTTCACGTGCGTATGAAAAACGCGTAAGTGGAAAACAGACTTAACTAAAATACGTAACCAGAACTAGAAGCCAAAGTCATCTACACATAAAACCTTTAAATTAAAATATCATTTCTAAATTTATCAGGCAGACTAAAATTTTCATCTTGTGAGATACCTGCACCTAAAATGAAATACAGCGGACCATGCGCAGAACGAATGAGATTCTTGCCTGTAATCATATCATCTTGTACAGTGGAGTAAGTGCCATCTTCTTGCAGGTCCAACCAATGTCCTTTAATTTTCGTCAAAAACACGCACATCGCTATTCGTGAGGGATTATTGTTTGAAACGAAAAGCCAAAATTTTTCCTCAGCTGTAGTGTACACTGGTAAAAGTAGATTCTCAGTGCAATTTGGGTGCTGCATATTTTGACCAACAGCCAACCATGCATCCGGCAAAAAGTACTTTGAACAGCTGTACAACAACAACCTCTCTTCTTAATTCAATATTAAGTCGACGACTTCCACTTCTTCCAAAATCGTTGAATGGGAATCAGTCAACACTCTTTCAGCAGCATCTGATCCTGAAATCTTTGTAAGAAGGCTTCTCACATCATCACTCATCGTGTCTTCATTTGATGGGACTGCAGGTGCTGCTAATTGTTGGTCGGTTCCACTATTATTGTCGATAATAAATTTTATATCATCGGCAGACTCCATGATTTTTCTAAGTTGATGTGCCCCATAGTTATAGGGCTTCTTGAACCTTATGCCTTCAAGGAGACCAATAACGCTGAATCCTCCTTTAGAGTAAGGAACTCTGCAGTTTTTACCAACGGCTTCACCTGAACGAAAGATAGTTCACATTCATGTGCAGTACATTATTTGCGGGTTAACCAGTATATATATGTACACTAACATACAAAGTGGAGGACCGAAGACTTACTGTATTTTTTGTTAAAAAGGTCTTGGACATCATTTCGGTGATATTTTCGATTGCTGCTTCCTATAAAATTAATTGAAATATAGTGAAGTACATTAAAAGTATGTTTTATATTAGAACCTTCTGTTATCCAACACTGCCGTTTAACATCATTACATAAGTTGTTACCCTTTCTTCAACCTCTCATGAAAAACATTAGTTCTTCATCTACAGTAATGTGGTATCAAAGTAATCAAACAATATTTTTTTGCATACTGTATTTCTCTTGCCAACCCTTTTCTAAAGCAAATCCAATCCTAATCCTATCTATAGAATATTTTCAGCATCAACAACATACTGTACAATACCAAAGTATTCTCGAAATTTAATGCCAATTTCAGGATTGCATGACAATAACTGGTTACCTTGATTTGACCCAATTTGGAAAACTACTCCCATGTTGTCTACTATCAATGATGAAATTTGGCATCCCAGATTTTCCAGCACAATAATCTAGAATAAACATCATTGAAACAAAATGTAGTAAAATAAATTAAATAATAACACAAAAAGTTAGGAAGATTAATGATTGTAGATTTACAACAGATGCTAGAATCGGTTTCTCTAAACTAGGAAAACAGCTGAAAGAAATTTAATATTCATTATTAATGGTGCTTGATGATGATGTTTCTTGCATTGTCAATGCTGAGTTGCAAATTTCTATTTCATTGATATTGTTTGAAATGGTAAGATGTTACAACTACTTGTAGTATACACTTATTTAGTACCTCTTCCTGAAGTTTTTTAATATGTCTTTCAATAATTTTCCTGTGTTGAACCTAATCCAATTGATCAATTTTCACACAATTTATTGCCTTTGCAGTTTCCTGGTACTTTTCTTTCTTATCACTGTTTTGATGTGACCATTTTTCCGCAGCAAGCTTGTTTTTTTCGGAGTGCGATAATCCTTTGGACTCATCTGCAAGACACAAAACAATATTTTAATAAATGTTTTGTACTTTAAATTATTAAACTACACCAAAAGGTACCTGGTCAAAAGGTGATAGATTAAGAAAGAGGCATCAAGCAATATACAACAAAATATATACTTTAAAGCTGGATTTACTGAATGTACTGTGCAATCATTGAATCCGTCCCTGATCATTAACCCATTAAAAGGCAATGCATGACTGTGAGCTCTACTAGGTGTGTTGCATGTATACAGTATATTCCAACAGGTCATGCACTATGTAATCTTGATTTGAAAATTTGAAAAAGTTACTGCAAAACACGTTATATGCATTTGGCCCTTTATACTTTTAGCTCTTTTCAATTGTGCTGTTCAGTTTCAGAAGATGTCATTCCCCCTTTCAGTCTTTTTAAATTCTGTTTCTGATTACCAATCCACACCTGCAATTTAAAAACAGTTGCACAGTCTATGACACCATTTGGTACGTAAAACAGTGATCATGTAGAAAAGGTACCATATTACAAAGATTTGTTGCGAAAGGAACTTGCTGCTTTCCTGGTAATTTTATTTAATGCTCAAAACATAATGCAAGTGGCGTAAGTTTCATTTTTCCTAGAAGACCTTGATAAAAGTCTGGCAAAATAAGTTTTAATACTGGATAGTCTAATAAAACATCCACAAACAAAAATGATAAGGCATGCAGATAAAAACAATAGCATTGACAATGTGTATTTTTAATCTCTACTACACAGTACCAGTTAAAGTCTGTTCCACACTATGTAAAAATTCATTTACAATACATAGTTTCCTATAACTTTATGGTTTTGGCGTTTGGGCAGGCCTGATTCAAACATCGGTTTCAACCAATTAGAGCAGCATGCTTTATATTGATGTTATATATTTCATAAATATTTTCCTAATTATGCAAGCCCAGGCTGAAATTTTATCACTTATAAAATACTGTATGTATTTTTGGGTTTCAATAATCCATACATGTCAAATTGATTTCAAAATCTATCATATTTAATTGCTCTTTAAATTAGGGACCATTAGATTTTGAGGGGGGAGGCTAGTACAAGAAGATGGTGGGTCACTAATATTCATGCAAATAAAAAAAGGCTTCCAAGGTGTTAACTCTGCAGACTTCCAACGCATGCTAGCAAGCTAGAAATGCATCTGCCAGGCTGTTCTTGGAACCTGGACATTCATGGTCTGGTTGAGAATGGTATATATCTCAATATGTGATGAGGAAAATGGTGACAAAAGCGTGGAAATTTACCTATTTATATTAAATGTGTGAGGAAGGTAACACCAGTGAACTCTATATATAGAGTTCACTGGGTAACACAGTTTAGATGTACTATACTTAATAAACTCTGTTGTAGCCCAGGAGGATGGGTCATAAAAAAGGTGAATCACTTTCAGGAAAGGGTCAGAAAAAATTGAGCATAGTACACTTTATTTAATTGCACCAGTCCTTCCCACTGTGTAGTAAAAGACCTGTCCTTATAGCCTAGACAACAGTTTACCAACATCAAGGTTGAAAGGACACATCACCAAGAAAGGGGAAAACACTGCCATTTAAAGCTCCTAAACAAAACAAACCCATTAATTTTGGCTAAACGTTGATATAAAGCTGTCATGCACTAGTAGCACTACCATGTGGATATTTTAAGTCCTAAATGTCCTCTTAAAGCCTATCTACACGATGCGAATATATAGTCGTATCAAATATAAGAATAAAACTAAGTTTCCCAGCATTAATTGAACCGTTATGGTAACAGGTAAAGACGGAGCTCGTAGTATAGTTGCGAATTGGACTTGTATCCCAATATACACTGTGGGTAATTGAAAATATTGTTATTTACCTCAACCTGCAATTTTGTTAGTCATGACTGCATTATCCACTTTATCTTTATATTTAGAGCCAGTACCAACCATCCCTTCGTCAAAAAATTTCTCCAAAATACAACGTTGGTCATCAGCAATACGACTGCGCTTTCGTGCAGATGACTCCATAGTTTTAAATATTGAATTTCGTTTGTATAAGACTTCACTTCGAAACACAGAAATTACAATATGGCGCAAATTGCGTGCATGCAAATTGCAAATCCTTATGTAAATTAACTCCAAGCAACAGCAATTTTGATTGGCTGCCTGTCCCAGCAATGTCATGAACCTTGTTTCAAATGACCAAGATGATCATCTAATATGGGTCTGACCCTCATTTGTCAATTGATATTTATGGGTCTCACCCATTGATAATATGTGACACGGGTGGAGTCACCAGCCTCGGTAATTGCATCAAGGGCTGATAAAATACCCTCTAGGCATCTCCAAACGGCCTCCACAGATTCAGGTCGGGCAGTCCATCTTGTTTTGGACAGGTTTCGCAGCTCTAAGAAATTTTCAACTTCTTTACATTTCTCTTTCAGATGTTCATTTCTTTTTGGGCTATCCGTAAAGAAGACGAAAATTTTCTCCAAAACAGCAAATACTTTGCCAATTAATGGCGAAGATGAACAACCATGTTCAACAACCAGGTTAACTCCATGTGGAGTGCACTTCGTGTAAGGGATCTTCCTTTCCAACATTTCACTGAGCTTCTGTTGCGCACCATTAAACTTTCCTGACATACTGGCAGCCGAGTCGTAGGTTTGAAACATTATACTGGACAGTAGTGGTATGTCCGAAAGCTTCAGACACTGCACAATGTCCTCTGCTTGTTCAGCTCCAGTCTTGTCTTTTGTCTCACTTATCCTGACCAATCTTTCTTTTGGCAAGCAGTAATCGGCATCGACGTAGCGACAGCGACAGACAGCTCATCACGGTGACTAATATCGGGTGTAGTGTCTGCCATGACCGAACAGAAACCAGCAGCCTTTACGCAAGAGCTTATGTGACTTCTTATTTCGTCACTCAGAAGGCTAATAAACTCATTCTGAGATTGTGGGCTGAGATACGTTGTGTGATACTTGCGCATCGAACGTTTTTCTAACCATACTTCCATCACTGGATGATGCCTTGAAAGAAGAAGGACGATTTGCTGGACGTTTCCGTCTTCATCAGAGTCCTTTCCGCGAAGAGCTATTCCGTTTCTAGTCAGTGTTTTAGACACATCAATAAGCATTTCTATAACCTCTGCGTTCTTCGCTTTTTCACTTTCGTCGTCAATAATGCTTCTTCTCTGCTGTTTAGAGAATAACTTGTCAATATGGTAACCTTCTTGGACAAAAATGGCATAGTCGCAGTGTGAGCATCACTGCTAAAGCGAGTTTGTAGTTTTCCAAGTTTATTTTTACCACGACTGCCTATCATCTTTGACCAATCATCAAGACGTTCTATCCACGCTTTTTCTGATCTTTCTCTCTGATCGCCTTCTTTTCCAAACATACTGCAGACGAAACAGTAAACTTTATTTGCTAAAACGCTGTATTCCAAGTAAGGGTAATCATCGTACCATGTTTAAGAGAATGTACTCTGCTTTCCTTTCTTCATTAGTGCAAGGTTACGTGGATAAATTGATAGCTTTGGTTGACATGGTCCGAGATTGATTAGATACTTTGTTTCTTGTTTGGTTTCTTGTTAACGTTGCTGGTCTTCTAGCAGGATCATGTTCAATAAGACTGTCATCTTCAAGTATATCCGATCCAGTCTCTGTTTGATTCTGGATTTCTTGTAGTCCAACCTCTGCAGTTTCCTTTACGTCCTCGATCATTTTTAAAGTGAATTTGACTTAGATCAGTTGTTGCACCCACAAGGCTAGATAATTTTTTGGAACTGCTGCGTAATTGACCGAGACAACGAAGATATTGTTCAATCAGTGAAAAAGCATTGTCAGCGTTCTCCTGTATGGTTTTGGTGTCGATGGGCAACGATTCGGGAAAAGGGGCAACGGTATCTAGTAATTCAGCGTCTTTGCACACTGATAAGGGATCAATTTTAGGAGATTCGCATTCGTCTTCACTCTTGTCCGTTTCTAGGGTTTCAGATTCTTGGAAAATTCCCTATTCATTTTACATATGCTAGGCAGGTCAATCTCTACTTCATTTTCATTTTCATTCCAGACAGGAGTACTGATTGACGCACTTGATTGTGTTTGAAGCTGTTCTGGACTAGCTTCGGATCTTGTTGGCTGTCGGGAGGAACCAATAGACTATGCAAAAATATAATTATGTATTAAACAACTACATAGAAAAATGCACATAATACAATTATGTTGATATTTCATTACAAATTTTACAACTTACCTCATTCAAGGGTTTGACAGTTTTGCAAGATTCAAAGCTCAATAGTCGTTGGGATTTGTCAACTAAATCTTGAAACTTCGGCGTCAATCCTTCGTGTTTTGATTGCTAGTGATATGTCGTATTATCAGCGTTTAGTACTTTGTCACATCGTAGGCAGAGGACACGCTTTCGATTAGTCCGCTCAGCCCTTTCCACTTTCCGGCGTTTCATTGCAGTTTTGCCAATCTATCGTTCAGCCATATTGATGATTTATTGCGTTCTTGTTTGCAAAATAAAGTTTACTTATTCATCATTTCATGTTGCTAATTGTATAAAGAATGTTGCATAAAATTATACATATATATGTGTATGTGTTTTGTGTGATAAGGACATTACTCTTGAAATCTCGATCATATTCAGTTTCACAAATATTGTACAAATATTGCGTATGCATGTGTTTACTAATTGTATCGATAAACATCATACATGTTGCAATATATTGTAATTTGATTTAAGTATGTGAAACTATAAGAGTTTTAGGTTTAAGATCACAAATCTATACCAACTCACCGAGAAATTATAAATTTTATAATCTTGTGATTGTCTTAATTTCAGCACACAAATAATTCTATTTTTATATGTGTAAACGCCACTGTGCTTTCACTCTGTAAATACACATGTTTGCTGAAAACCGGAAGCGCGCAAACGGAAGCGATAAAAAACCAATTAAAGCAATTCTATATAGTTATATTTGTTGATCCCGAGAGCATGTTAAAGCAGAGACATCGAGACAGGTACAAGCACAACACCGTACGCATTCCTATTACAAATTCTGAAAATATCTTCATTAAACGTGTAAACGCTTGTAAGAAGTGATTGAAGTCATATAAAAGAAACAATCCTAGTATTTTTTCGCATTTCAATGCTTTCTTATTTGTATCCCTCATTGGTTTATAACATTTTGTTACCTGATTTATTAACCCTAATTTTTAACGTATTTACCTGAAATTTCCGAATCGTCTTTGTTAGGGGGGTGTGACATTTACCTCTGAGATTTTTGCAGAAACAACTAGATCTTTACTTCTTTTGTAAGTACACTTCAAAATTTACTCGAAAATTTAAATATTATATTTTTTCTATTTATTGCGCGATGAATGCAAAAATTTTAGCAAAAATTTTTCTGAAACGTGAGGAGAAAATAGAGCAATCTCATTGGTCGAGAGCTCACGTGACAACTTGCTAATTGCTTGTCCGGCCTCCTCTGCATCTACATCTAACTTTAGGGTAATGTTGTTGACATTGATCAAGCCAGTCTTCTTCCTTTTCAAATTTGCTGTCATCAGTTATCAGGCTGGTAAGGGCTTCATGTTTCAATACTGGGTTTTCAAACGCGTTCGTGAATTTTGTTAATGCATCTCTTACCTCTTGTGTCAGTCGCTTGCTCAAGACAAGTGTTCCACGGTTTTGCCTTGCCTAGTAAGTCCTGCTTTTGCCGTGCGTCTATTGATCTTTGCGGTTTTGAAGTTCTCGTCGGTCATTGACATTGTTTATCACTTACGATCCACGGTAACAAATGCGCAGAAATCGAATGTTATGGTTCCGCAAGTTGATAAATCACACATAAACTGGATATTGTGTATCGTATTGATATTTGATTTACAAATAAAACAATTCGATCTAAAATAAGATAAATAATATATAAAGACTAAATTTAAAACCCAGTTATTTATAAAGTATAAATGCGCTTAGAATATGAATACGTAATTACATGTTAGATCTAGATTACTCAGTTCTGTGGCAATATCCAGGGCTTAAACTGCTTCCGTATAAATTCTCCGTATAATAACTTCCTGATTCTGGTTAGCAATATTCCCAATTTCAAAAGCATGTCCACATCTGGCTATACTATCCTGGCACTTAATCACAGTGCGTGCCTACAACAGTGTCAAATGACTAAAATGTCTATCAATATATTACGCAGTCCTTATTGGCTGATAATTATAAATGTTTAATATATATTAATGTTAATTCGTTCATCGAAACAATAATTCAACTCAGTATAAGGCAAAAATAATTACCAAAAGGAATGACCAAAGGTAAACAATCATCAAAAGATTCCACTACAGGGCTGAAGAGCGAATTGCGACATTCAGGGGCCGGTTGTATAAAAAGGTAGTTAGCGCTAACTGCAGTTAAAAAGTAGTTAAGAAGTAGTTAAAAAGTACTATTACGTATAATCACTATATCATCTTATAACAATTTATATAATAATATAATCATATAACCATATAGTATTCTCTTTAGTCAGACTTAAATGCATGTGTAAGCAAATAGTTACATGCATGAGTAACCAAATAGCTATCCACACCTTATCCCACAAACACGTAACAAGGTGTCAACCACAAACCACGATAGCATGCATGTGCTACAATGCACTGAATTGCGTAGGGGAAATGAGTTTTAGTGTAGCCAAGCGTATAAAGTCTGAGCACAACCAACCACGAGAGAGAAATGCGTGCAGCATTCTTCGTAAGGCCTCAGTGCCTAAATATTATATTGTAAAAGCAGAAGTACTAAACAAAAGGAGTTAAAGTTGAAGACAAGGCTTTGTGGAGTTGTGCTCAGACAAAGATAAGTCAAACGTTTGAAGATATATTATATTCTTAAAATCATAATCTTATAGAGACGTTAATAAACAATTATTGGATGAGGTTTTTGTGATATGCAGAGTTATGCTTGATAACTCTGCATATCACAAAAACCGAATTCAATAATTGTTTTATTATACATTTGAAGAATAGTAAACATAGTATTAACAAATGAAAAAGCTTATTTAATAGCAACATCCAAAAATACATCAATTATTAATACATAAATACATTTAAATGAATACCGCTTGTTAACCACCACAGGCCCACTTGCAGATAACTCAGTTATCTGCTAGCAGATAACTTTATTTTGCGTGATTGCGCGATTTATCTGTCAACTATTAGCCAATCAAATTGCTTTTATTACTATAATGTATAATAATTACTGTTATTGGAGAGTTAAGGAATAAATAACTGTATAAATATAATTGACTCACACTGTGTTTGTTGCGAGTAGAACTATAGAAAGCTTTTGTTGTTATGAGAAAGCTGTAGAATATGACGAGTATGATGACAAACTTACGTCGGCACTGAACCAAGGCTTTACTTGTATTACCGAACTATCAGCTTTGCTGCAAAATATCTCAACAGACGTGCTTGAAGTTGATGCTATGCAATATGTCGAAGAGAATTGGCCGTTGGGTGACGAAGAGCTTGCTCGTATGCACATCTATTGTCTGGTCGGTTACAGAAGATGCTCGCGTTGGATCTTTCACATACTCGGAAAAAAGATTCAAAGGCCATTCCCCTCGTGTTTATATAAATGCATACGAGAAAAGTATTCATCGCCTGACGGACTTTACACACACTTTAAATATCCAAAACAATAACGGACATGGTTTCAAAGGTAATAGCATGATGGGTCATATATTACATTCTATTTATATTATTGGTTAATACAGGGGCGTAACTGTTGGGGGTGTGGGGGGTGTCACCCCCCCCTCAATCGTTGAAAACAGTGTTTTGGTAGGGCAATTTGTTGGGAATTTGCAGTTTGTTTGCTTTGAACAAAATGTTAAAGGTTTTTAAGAGTTAAGGCATTGTATACATTTATGGTCTAGATAAAACGTATCAACTTCGATTAGAACACTGTCCAGTTTTACAAGTACAGTTTGAACCACAATAGTGATCATTTCCTTTGCACAAACATCTTTTCGTAGCACATTTTCCTTTGCACTGGCACATAATTGTTGCATCCTCTTGCTCAGGCAAGGCAGGTTTTGTAAATCAACTGTGTCTGCACGAGACAACATCCTCTTTCCTCTCACGTGGTTTCCCATTTAGGTATGTTTCCACAAGCAAGTCTGGTTCTTTTGGTAGCACAGCTTTTGCATTTTTTGCAGCAGCTTTAATTGTTGGGTAGTCTCGACGAAGTTTCAGGCATTCAAATGGAATATTCTGTACATATTCTAAGATGAAATTTGATATTTTATTAAAAAACCTATGTTTAATATGAACAGTACAAAATACATTCTAGTGTATTTAATCTATTTTAACCACTTAAAAGTGCTTCTACTCTCAAACTGTTTGATGCCAAACAATTCTATTTTAAGGGAAAACCCTTATTAATAGTAAATGCATACTGTGTGTTGGAAGCTCCTTTATGGGTTTGGCCACTGTAGTGTATATGCCTTGTCCTTGATACGGATTGATACGGATTGATCTAGTCTTCATAAAAATGTTTTATTCTCTGTTTTACTCTATGTTACAGCATTATCCGGCAAGCCAACAACTGCTGCTAATTACGCATGCATATTTATACCTTACAGCCTAATTAAATATTCAATATATATCACATCCCTCCTTTTTCAAAATAATTCTGTAACAGTTAATTTTTTTTTAACATATATAAAGTGTACACTATAACATATTATAAAGTACTACGAATTACTTATATATAGTAAGTAATCACCAAAACGTTTAGGAGGCCGACACTGCCTTCTTGGTCTAGGCGATAGCTGTCCGTTTTGAGGCGAAACTTCACAGTCACGACCGCTGGACTCGATTTCTTCAACAAATGTTTCATCTTGATCGGTTTCTTCAACAGCTACTTCATCTTGACTAGTTTGCTCCTCATTCTCATATCTCTTCACATGCGCAGAATTTCTCCGATATGTTACTCCATTTTCCGACTCAACTGTAACTTCGTTTCCGATCTTGTCCTTTACCTTATACAACGCATCTTTGAATGCTGGCGACAACTTGTTCTTCGGCTTCGAATTTTTCACAAGGACTGTGTCACCAATCTCAATATTCCGATCTGCCGCTAGTCGTCTACGGTCTCCATACAATTTCCCCTTTTCTTTCATCATTGCATCTCTTTGCTCGACATTCAACTTCGGTTGGAACACCTGCATAACAGAAGGAACTTTAGTTCTTATCTCTCTTCCAAACATTAACTTTGCTGGGCTTACTCCTGTGACAGTATGTGGAGTACTACGGTACGCCATCAAAAATTTATTCAGCTCTTTCTTCCAATCTCCCCCAGTTGCACAAGCAATCTTCATTGACTTTAGAAGAGTACGATTTTGTCTCTCAACCTCACCATTTCCCTGGGGCCACAAAGGAGTGGAAAAAACATGCTTGACATTGTTAGCTCTCATATAATCCTTGAATTGTGCTGAAACAAATTGTGGGCCATTGTCCGTTTTCATGGATTCAGGAATCCCATGCATCGCAAACATACGATCAAGACTATCTATAATGCTGCTAAACAGAATAGACTTCAAAATGTCAACTTCAAAGTATCGACTATAATAGTCAACTACAACAAACAGATATTCTCCTCCTGGTAATGGACCCAACAAATCAGCAGCAACGTCCAGCCAGGGTGCTTTCGGCAACACCGTTCTCTTCATAGGTTCTGGAGATGGACTCTGTGAAACCAACTGGCACCCATGGCAAACTTTACATCTCCTTTCTACTTCACAATCAACTCTGGGCCACCAAACTTTAGAACGGATCCTCTGCTTAGTTTTAATAGAACGGATCCTCTGCTTAGTTTTAACTATCCCCTGATGGCCTTCATGTGCCAAATCTAAGACCCGATTCCGCAACACTTTCGGTATAACCAACCTGGAACCTCTAAGAATTAACTTCCCCAAAACGGTTAATTCATTTCCCACATTTCGATACTCTTTTGGCAGCTTCTTCAAATTCCCACTTAGGATGGCTTCTCTGACCACGGATAAGACCTGATCAACCGCAGACTCCTTTTCTATCTCTTGAATCGACATGGCATTCGGTACTGCGTTCTCTGCAATGAATGTCACATACTCTTCTGCTACATTTACGCCCGACTCACAGTTTACTGGAATCAACCGAGACAATGTGTCCGCAATGTTTTCTGGACCCGGAAGATACTAACAGTAAAATCATAATTCTGCAATCTCAAAACCCACCTTTCGATTCGTGCAGAGGGCCTATGGGTTTTGGAATAAACCACTTCTAATGGTTTATGATCTGTCAAAACCTCAAAGTGAATCCCATACAAATACACATGAAAACGCTCACAAGCCCGTACTATACTTAATGCTTCTTTCTCCGTCTGAGAATACCGCCTTTCCACGTCAGAAAGACATCTACTAGCATATGCCACAACTTTCATTACATTTTGTTGCTTTTGCACAAGCACTGCACCCAGACCCACAGGACTGGCATCTGAGATTATCAACGTTTCTGCATCCTTATCAAAATAAGCCAAAGAATCAGCAGTAGACATCTTATTCTTAAGCTCTTGAAACGCCTTATCCTGTTCATTTCCCCAAACAAAAGGTGTAGTTGTCCTGGTTAACTTTCGCAAGGGTTCAGCCGTTGTAGCTAAATCTGGAATGAGCCGACTACAGAAATTTACCAGACCAAGAAAACTCCGAACTTCAGAGGCTGTTTTCGGCTCCCTAGCATTCACCACAGCCCTGACTTTCTCCTCAGTGGGCCCAATCCCTTTCTCAGATACAAAATGTCCCATAAATGTTATTTTGGGTATTCGGAATTCGCACTTTTCTGGATTAAGGGTGAGACCCCTCTTCTGTAATACCTCCAAGACTTTAATCAATCTACGATCATGCACTTCAACAGTAGGACCATGAACAATAATATTGTCCGCGATATTTTGAACTCCCTCGCATCCCTGTAGGATCTGCTGAATAATATGTTGATAAACCTCCGGGGCGGATGTTATCCCAAACATAAGGCGCTTATAACGGTATAAACCACAATGAGTCGTGAAGGTCGTAATCCCTCTAGATTCTTCAGCCAATTCAATTTGATGGAACCCCCATTTTAAATCTAACTTGGAAAACACGGTACTCTGATTCATGTTCAAAAGTACTTCATCTATCGTTGGTATTGGGTGTCTCTCCCTCTGGATAGCCTCATTGGCCCGTCTCATATCCACACATAATCTAATTTCACCGTTTGGTTTAGGAACAATGCAAACTGGACTTACCCAAGAGGTGGGCCCTTCCGCTCTTTCAATAATATCTCATTCCAACAACTCGGTCAATTTGTCTTCCACTTTCTGTCTCAAACCAAACGGAATCCTCCGTGACTTTTGAGCAACAGGTTTAACAGCAGGATCGATATGGATCTTTAACTGGAAATCTCTCAACTTTCCAACACCGTGAAAACATCCTGAAAATCTTTCTTTAATGTCAGACTCCGTCAAGTTGTAAAAGCAATAACACTCCAAGCTCTCTGGCACTTCTACATCCGATCAAAGGCCGTCCTGTCCCATCTAAAACTCCGCTTCCGTCACTAAATTCCCATAAGTAACTTTTGACTGAAATTTACCAAGGGTCTTAAGTGGTACGCGTATGCATAAATATTCCCCACAGACTTTTGGGACTTACATTTCACCCCATTCTTTTTAAGCATTTCCCAAGTACTCTTATCTATGATATTACACGTAGACCCAGAGTCAATCATAACATTTCGAATGTCAACTCCCCCAACATTAATGTTAATCAAACCAATTCCATTTGACTCATTATTTTTTTGGACCATAAAAGCGTACTCATCCTCAAAGTCTACATGATTCACTCTGTTACTTACATTTTCAGGGTTCCCACAAACCTCCTGTCTTTCATTCCCGACTGCGAATCTCCCTTCGATCTACACACTGCCGCAAAATGCCCAACACTCTGACACTTTCTGCAGGTAGCTAACTTAGCAGGACAGTTTTTATCACGGGCAAAGTGTCCCTCGCGACCACAATGAAAACAACACTTAGACTTAGGTTTCGAAGTATTACCATTTTGAATACCAAATCTTTTCCTCTCGCGAATGCGATTCACTTGCCCAGTAGTGGGAAACTCCATAGTCTTGGCCTGAACGCTAACCGCTTCCATCGCCCGTGCGATTTGTTGTACATCTTCCAGCCTCAAATCTTGACTCTTTTCTAACAGTTTTCTTCTCAATCCAGATGACCGACACTTATCAATTACTTGGTCTCGGATCTGCTCACCGAAATGTTCTCCAAAACTACAGTTCTCAGCTTGATGCCTCAGTCTGATCACAAATTGGTCAACAGTTTCTCCCTCTTCTTGTTTCTTCTGACGGAACACATGCCTTTCATATGACACATTTGCTTTTGGTGAAAAATAATCGTCCAACAATTTCAAAGCGACTTCGTACTCGTCCATCTTGCTACAGCTACTGACCTCGGAGACGTCTAACGCTTCAAAAATCTCCTGAACATCCACACCAGCTCAGTGCAGAAGTAAGGCCTTCTTTTGCTTTTCATCTTTAATTCCTTTCCCATCAACAAAAAACTGAAAAGCTTTTCGCCATCTTTTCCACCTTGGAGATATACTCGTGATATCGCCCTTACAATCAAAAGCTTGCATGCCGCCAATTTCGACATTTATCGACATTTACTGCTTTTAAAGACAAAATGTTCACAAAATATAACAGTTCATACTTCAACGTTCATCCTCGTCGCCAATTGTAGTGTATATGCCTTGTCCTTGATACGGATTGATACGGATTGATCTAGTCTTCATAAAAATGTTTTATTCTCTGTTTTACTCTATGTTACAGCATTATCCGGCAAGCCAACAACTGCTGCTAATTACGCATGCATATTTATACCTTACAGCCTAATTAAATATTCAATATATATCACAGCCACCACCTTTTCTCCTTTATGCGCTTTTGGGTATGCAATTGACCAGCGCATTTCTCCATCCATTCTTTTGGCTTGCTGTCTGTCTGCATTTTCGTTGTAAAGCAGGTTGGAACACCATAATCTGTACACAATATAAAAATATTTTAGTGTTTCCAAAATTAAAAATGCATGTAGATATATACAGGGCCGCACACAGGGAGGGGGGGGGGCAACAGGGGCAGTTTTATGTTACTATAAATAATCAAAATTATTCTTTGGTTGCTTCAAATATTGCTATTAGTGCTCCACTGCCTGTGTGCCCCCTCCCCTCTCCTGCTGGTAAAAAATCCTGTATGTGGACCTGGATTTATAATTGAAAGAATTATACCTTGCAATTAGACAGTGGTATGGATAGTATGTATTCTTTGATGCAAAAACATTATCAAGTGAATGTTTGGCTTCTAAGCCTGAAGTTTGATGATAGTTTGAAAGCTTCCTAACAGCACTAATTAGCCTTAGCCTTGTGATCAACTCAGACAATTTCTTATGAGCTGCTGATCCTATATAATTAGTAAACCACAATTAAGATTTCAGTTGTTATAGCATGATATTAATTAACCCATTAAGCAGCAATTTCTAAATTTACCTTGCTTCAATTTCTAAATTTACCTTGCTTGCCTTTCCACAACTTCATGAGTGCACTTGACAAAAACCTTGTTTTCCTTATGGATGTGAATATTGACAATATGGTTTGCCAAACTTTCCCACTTTTCTTGCCTTTCATCCTCTGTTTTACTGGAACAGGCCACCCAGTACATATGGTTGATAATGGACTACAATGTACAAAATGATGTAACCACACGTTAGCCCATTAAGTAACAAGATGTACTAGGATGCATGGTGCCTTCTGGGGTACCAATATAAAAGGGAAAGAGCAAGTACCTAAATTGAGTGGGGTTCTTGAAAATGTTGGGACTTTATAAATGAAATGTTTCACAAAAGGGGGGGGGTATGTGCTGGTATTTAAAATTGCAAACAATCCAAATTTACCGTGTATACTGTAATTACAAATTAGGTTGTCAACCAAATAATATTACTTTAAATTGCAATTACCCCAATCCAAGGCTTTACCATGCGAAACTTCTTCTTTTTGACAAGTTTCAACAACCCTTTCTTTTCACCTGTGTCAGTTGGGAAGCTCTGCCACTTAATGGGTTAACCACAAAATCTGACAATCTATCTAGTTAACCCATTAAGTGGCAATGCACCCCAATGCGCCCTACTTATTTTTATTACTTGTCTAACGCCAGACGATTTTACTCGTCAGTGGGGAAGCTCTGCCACTTAATGGGTTAATAATATTTATTTTGTGGAAACACCTCATAAACTCACCTTTAGCTATGTGCCAAACATCATAGGCATGTTCAATGTTTTTCTTTTCACTCGCTATATAGGCTGAAACTTGGTTATGCCTGTCTGTAACAAGTTTACAAACACGTACATTGGCGTTATCCAGATACAACAGCTGTCTTTTGAGGGACTCAAGTTCCATGGCGTTTGAGTTCTTAACTTCTGTGCTCTAAAAAGAAAAACTGATCGTTTCACTTTCAGTCGATGACAACCTTAATTGAAATAGCTGTATTCTGAAATCTGAAAAAGGAGATATACAATACCTTGATAATCTGCGTGTCCAGTATGACATTCTTCTCTACATGCAAAGAGCTTCCAGACCCAAACAAGCCACAATGCCCTGGGCTGTCCACGCGCATATCAGATGCTATAACACGAGATGTGCCTTGAACTTCACAAACTAAACGATCTTTCTCCCGATTCCAAACATTGAAAACAGCAGGTATGGCATACACTGAGAGAAGAGAACTGCTGACGCGTGATTGACTTTATTTGCAGGCAATCGAAAAAGCGCAGGACTTTGGCAACCTCAAGACCACAAGATAAAATACCAGCAGTAATCATTAGGTGAAAAACTGGCAGTCTATTGTGTAGTGGTCCTGTAGACAAAAGGAAGCCATGGCTAATATTATTCAAACAGGTCACGGAAATTCGGCTGAATGTTCCGATGGTACTTTCAAGGGTTATAACGCAGTTTGAGCCACATTTGAAACAACGCTTGAAACATCTGACGAGCGACTCTTTGAACACTATAAACTTCCTTTGTTCTTGGTAGGATTTTTTACTTGATAGAATGACTTTTTCTTCATTTTCTTCGTCTTGTAACATAAGCTGAGATTCTTCGTCGCTGTGTTCGGATTCATCGTCGAAGAATGTCCTTGGTAAAGTCGTAAACTTTATCATGCCTATCGTCTATAGAAGTAACGTCTATTGGGTCAGACATTGTCACTGGGTCAGATAATTCATCTCTCGCCACAGGATCATCTACAGGATCATCTAATGGCACTTGGTTATTTGATGGCAATGGATGAGAGTCTTCTATAAAATCAGGGTCAACGAAGGGACTTGTTTGTGTTCCAGTAGATGCAGAAGTGGAAGTCACAGGTGTTTTTATACCAAGTAGATGCTCTGAAAGAGTCTTGCTATTCAAGAAAGTTTGTGTTGCAACAGACTTAACTTCCTTCTTGTTTATATTGCATTTGCAAGGCTGATTTACTTGGCTTGATTTATTTCTTACTGGCAAACCCATATCTCTCAACATAGCAAAACTGTCCTGGCTCGATACGAGAACGCCAACGCTCGAAACATGCTCGTCTGCATTGTTGGTCTCAAAACTTTCCGTATCCACTTCTTCTGCAACTTCTTCTTCAACATATTATTTCATAATCCCGTGAATGTCCTATTTTATAATGTAGACAAAGCAAATAAAAATATGCAAGTTTAAAATGCGTTTTATTTCTATATTTCAATTCCAACAACCAATTAATTGTTTACAATATTGCTAAAAGTACCTTTTTTCTAGAAAGTGCTCCAATCCGGCAAAATTTAATTGCGTTGCTTTCTTGCTTGATGTCGGTAATATTTATGGTTGGTAAAGCATCGTCCTTTAGCTTGGCTTTCCTTTTGCCAGGAAAACTGATGGAATTGAGAAACTGAGGCGAGTTTGATGGCACGTATGCATCTTCTGTGAAATGATTTGAGCAGATAGTCAAGTTTTTTGTCGGGTTAAACTGCTTTCTTTTGCAGAACTCGATCCAAGTTTTCTTTCTCCTTTTTTCATTTTGACCTTTGTTGGCATTAAGGAAGGAGAAGAAATGTAGCGATTTATCTTGGTTGTTTTTGCTATTGCTATTGCATCCATATACAGAACAGTA